TGTACCTACACTTTTTCAAAATCCTTCTAAGGTACAACCCAAACTTGTACCTATACTAAAGGTACAACCTTAAGTTGTACCTACACTTTCTCAAAATTCTTTTACGGTACAACTCAAAATTGTACCTATACTAATGGTACAACTTTAAGTTGTACCTACACTTTCTAATAAATCTCTTTATGGTACAACTCAAAATTGTACCTATACTGATGGTACAACTTTTAGTTGTACCTACACTTTTTCAAAATCCTTCTATGGTACAAACCAAACTTGTACCTATACCATGGTACAACTTTATGTTGTACCTACACTTTCTAACAAATCCCTTTAAGGTACAACTAAAAATTGTACCTATACGAATGGTACAACCTTAAGTTGTACCTACACTTTCTAACAAATCCCTTTATGGTACAACTAAAAATTGTACCTATACTAATGGTACAACCTTAAGTTGTACCTACACTTTTTCAAAATCCTTCTATGGTACAACCCAAACTTGTACCTATAATATGGTACAATTTTAAGTTGTACCTACACTTTCTAATAAATCCCTTTATGGTACAACTCAAAATTGTACCTATACTAATGGTACAACTTTAAGTTGTACCTACACTTTCTAATAAATCTCTTTATGGTACAACTCAAAATTGTACCTATACTAATGGTACAACTTTTAGTTGTACCTACACTTTTTCAAAATCCTTCTATGGTACAACCCAAACTTGTACCTATACCATGGTACAACTTTAAGTTGTACCTACACTTTCTAAAAATCCTTCTATGGTACAACCCAAAATTGTACCTATACCATGGTACAAATTTAAGTTGTACCTACACTTTCTAACAAATCCCTTATGGTACAACTAAAAATTGTACCTATACTAATGGTACAACCTTAAGTTGTACCTACACTTTCTCAAAATTCTTTAATGGTACAACCCAAACTTGTACCTATAACATGGTACAATTTTAAGTTGTACCTACACTTTCTAATAAATCCCTTCATGGTACAACTCAAAATTGTACCTATACTAATGGTACAACTTTAAGTTGTACCTACACTTTGTGAAACAAATTCTTCAATGGTACAGCTGAAACTTGTACCTATACTAATGGTACAACTTTAAGTTGTACCTACACTTGTATACATTGATTCATTATTTACAAGATTGCCATTAATGATGTGGGACCAGTCATTTAGTGGGTTTACCTCCTCAACAGGTCACCTTTTTTATAGCATGGGTGCTATAGAGCACACTAGAAGGGCTCCAAATTTGCTACCTCAAAACTGGAAAACTGCCAGAAAATGGTCAAGGCAGAAAACTGTTTTGTGAAGCCTACTTTGGAGCTCAATTCAAGGAGCATGGAGGGGATTCAAGTCAAAGGGCTTCCACAAAATGAAACTATGTATGGTAATGTACAAAGGGAAGGAATTGGATGAAGGATTGGAGTTCGGGAAGGCCTTGAACGAAAGGCGTGAAGTTAGTACAAAAGCTGCATTTTAACTGTTTTGCTGGCAGCTTTCTTGTGCTTCAAGAAAGGGAGTTTAAACACGAATTTTGTGTCATTTTTAGTGTAGGCTTTTACCTTAATTGTTGCCTAGTTCTATTAGGATTGTATAAGGTTTTATTTTCCTTTAAATTCTGTTCTATTTCGTTGTAAAATTCAGAATTTGTTGAATAGAAAAGAAACCGTTTGGTTTGTGCAAGTTGCGACTTGTTTGAGTTTGGTGGATTCCAAGCTTGTGAGCTTTGTATCGATTGAATATCCTCTTCAATCGTGGTCGAGCAGCTACCCTTTTATACCATACGAGCTTTCCCCAGGTGTGGAATTGTCCGTTGGTTCCGTTTTGTCTCAATTTCGTATTAAGAACGCGTTGCTCTTAATTCAAGTTCAATCAATCTACGGATTGATTGATTGCTGCGTTACTTTGATAAAAATACACCCCCAGGTTCGTTATGCTTATGCAAAAGCTTGTTCTACGGGATGACTGAGCACTCCTCGCTGAGCTCCATAGTGGCTAGCTTGCGCAACTTCTGCTTCTTTGCGAGAAGATCTTTTAGGAACTTCGCATACTTAGGCATCTGAGATAGTGACTCCAAGAAGGGCACTTGAACGTTCAGCTTCCTTAACATGGATATGAAGTCCCCGAACTTGGCCTCCAACCGATCTTTGTGCATTCTGGTGGGGAAAGGGAGCTTAGACTTATATTCAGCCACTACTGGCTTGGGCTTTGGGGCTCAAACCTCTGGCTCATTTCCCATCACCAAGTACTCTTCCAGCTCCAGGGTGATCTGCGTCACCTTCTTCGCACTCCTCGGCGACACATCCTCAGTCACCGTCCCACTCCTCAACATGACGGCGTGCAACCCCTCCTTATGATTTCTGGGGTTCGGCAGGGGTTGGCCAGGAAGTGTGCTAGCCGGCCTGGAAGCAAGGGCATCTACCAGGTGCCCGATTTTGGTGTCCATATCCTGCGAGAGTGCCTGCTGGTTCCTCTGGCTAGATTCAATCTCCATGAATTTTCCCATAGCTACTTCCATGAATTGCTCTAGCTTACTAAACTTTTCGGTAATGTTGCTGGCCAGGGTGGTCACTAGATCCCTCAGTTCTGACACGAAATTGCCCGGTGCTGGGATGGATGAAGATGCACCAGGCTGCTGGTACTACTGCTGTTGAAAAGCCTACCCCTGTTTGGGCTGATAAAATGGCTGTTGTTGCTGCATCCAGCTCGAGCGGGGCTGGTATGGTTGTCTCTAGTTCTGAAAAACCAGCATCAGGAGCCTGGAAGGCCGGTGGCTTAGGATTGTCGTTGCCACTCTAGGATAAGTTAGGATGATGGTGCCACCCCTTGTTGTATGTATTACTATAGGGGTTGTTGCGCCCCATCATTATTTTCGAAGTTAAGTTGCTCCTGCGGTGTGCTGGACTCTCGCATAGCTTGGCAGTCCTCCACCATGTGATTGGTGCTCTCACACCACTGACAGTACATCACTTGCGGTGAGACTAAGGTGTGCACAAAAGAGAGGACTTAGATGAAGATGGAGTTCATGACAAGCCAATATATTAGGATCTCCCCAAACAACACACAATCAAGTAAACAAGAGTTAACAAGTGCATGAGAGTTGTGCGCAAAGAGTAGGATTGAAGAAAAAGGGGACTATGTAATTGGGGACTTTCTACGAACACTTGGTGGCGCGGTCTTTGAAAGCTTAAGAAATGCATGAAAATAGGCCACCAAGGTCTCCCAAAATGCATAGCAAGATCATTAAAGCAAAGAAAGTAATCCTATGGCATCAAAAAGTCATGCCAATATGAAGATGAGCCTTTTTAGTACACGAAGCATTCAACACAGGTTTAGCACAACAACGTAGTTAAAATATGGATAAATTAAAAAGTGGATTGTTTCCCTAAATACAGTAATAATTAAAAATAATTCCTAGAATATATAAATTTTATAAAAATTTCCCAAACTACCAAAGTTTGGAAGGGTTCGAGTCCAAGAAACTTGAACAACATTATTGATCGACGATTAAGAACTCGACCTATAACAAAATCGAGTTTTTACAACTCGATCAAGTGTAGATCGATTTTTGAAGACTCGATCTAATAGGATTGATGACAAAGGACTCGATAAAAAAGGATCAATTTTTGAAAACTCGATCTAGTGGGATCGATGCCAAAGAAATCAATCATCTAAGATGACTTTAGAAGCCTCGATCCACATCTGCACCAGATCGATGCCTTATGACTCGAAGAAAGTGGATCGATTTCCCTGGTCTCGAACTACTATTCAATTATCGCCAAGTCGCTTTCCCCTGACATGCTTTGAGGATAGGGTTTCAGGAATAAGATTCTTTGTTGTACTGGATCGAGTTTTTTGAACTCGAACTGTACTAGTTCGATTGCCATGGACTCGAACCACTGCTCAATCTTTCTGCCAAGTCGCTTTCAGCCCGACATGCTTCAGAATAGGGTGCAGGGGTAATATTTTATTGATTGTACAAGATCGAGTTCTTTGGACTCAAACTACGATAGTTCGATTACCTAGCCTAAAACCACAGGCAACTTGCACGACCAGAGTCGAAGATCCTCAGGGTATCCCAACTCGTACAAATCCTTTGCACCGTTCGGATACGGATCTTACTCCACCTAAGTTTAATAAATAAACTAAATCCATACAAACAATTTCAACAAATAAAATAGTATTCATATTCATAAAAATAAAGCATGGGCAATGGAAAATAATTTCAACAAATAAATTAGTATTCATATTCATAAAAATAAATCATGGGCAATGACAAATAATTTCATCAAATAATTAGCATTCATATTCATAAAAATAAATAATGGGCAATGACAAATAATTTAACAATAAATTAGCATTCATATTCATAAAAATAAATCATGGGCCAAGAAAAATAATTTCATCAAATAAAATAGCATTCATTTTCATAAGATAGAGTGTTACCTCATTGAACTCTATACGGTCAAGATGTTGGCGGTACCCGTCTAGAGAGGCGAGTCTAGTGATAGCTCCAATCCATCTAGCACCATAAGCCGCTTGTCATAGTGGCTCTTCAGGACCCCAACTGTTGGCAGGGCAGATCAGAGCGAAAGTAGGAAGGTGTCGCCAAACCCATAGTTGGAGGATGAACATGGCACCACCCGCTTGCTTTGTTTTCGGGTCCGTACACTTTCACAGCTCCGCATATATCATCGCCAAACAAGCAGATCCCCAACTTTTTCTCCCAATCTCGTCCCAATCTTCCAAAAGAACTCGGAGCCACATACAACAGACTTGTTCGGACACAAAAATCCCCCAACCAAACAAATCAGGTATATGCGAGCATACCTCTCCATCTGAGCATCTGTGGCATCCTCCGGTAATTCTCCAGTGGTCCTCGCTAGCCAAGGTATCCATAGCATAGACTTGTGTAGAGGTGGTATACGACGACCTTGTGGTGCTTTCTCGGGGATGTTGATGCCTAAAAGCTTGCTTATAAATTGGCCCCAACATTCAATGTTTTCTGTGAACTCTCTATTATGGCATCGCCATCGATTGGAAGCTCTGTCAGCATGGCCACGTCCTTCAACGTAATCGTCATCTCTCCCTCCAGAAGGTGGAATGTGTGCGTTTCTTTTCTCCATCTTTCCACCATTGTCGTAAGAAGGTTTTTGTCCATCTCCATCGCCTAAAAGTTTCACACCCTCAGCAATCGCGCTCTTTCAATGAATGGCTCGATTCGAACATCCCATGCACGCAAGCAAGATAGTGACTGATGGGTGATTACGTCAAGTTGTTCCTGTATAAAAAAACCTTAATTTTTATACGAAAAAGTTAAAAGAATACTATCGCATTTAAAAAAAGAAAAGTACATGAGGAAGTGCTTACCGGGTCTGCCGCCCAAACACTTTCAGATCGATGATAAGGTTGCTGATCCAACAAATCGGTTTCTCGCGGTCCGTCTTGAATGTATAATCTAGGATCGTAAATACTCGGGTCCATCACGGCAATTTTGAGTGATAGAAGTACCAAACTAAAGAGAAAAAAATTGATGTGGAAGATCGGGCTTAGCCGCAACCACAAAGCATATTTTTTTCTTCAAGAGATGTGGGAGGAAGAGAGGAAAAAGAATGGAGTGGTGTGAGTTTTGGTGGAATGGAGGGGGGAATTTATAGGTGTTGTGCGAGGAAGTGGATCGAGTTTATGTCACTCGAACCACTACATCGAGTTTTGTGACGTCGATCCGCGTCAAAAGTAGCTTGAGGGAAGGCAGATCGAACGACCCAGATCACGTTTTGAGTACTCGATCTATGGTGGAGCGTGTCTGACGTAATCGATCAGCGTACATCGAGTTCCACCCACTCGATCCGCATCACTACTGCTTCGAGGATGTGGCCATCGAACCGTCCATATCGATTTCCGGTAACACGATCTAGGGTGGAACCCTGCCTATGTCATCGATCCATGTTATTTTGATCGAGTCTTCTATCCTCGATCTACGTAGATCGAGTTTAATAACCTCGATCTGCTTCGTCCTATTCCAGGCAACCGTGGCCCTTTCACTCGATGCACGTGGATCGATGGCTCGGCAATCGATCTAGTTCTAGTTTACTGAACTCTATCTATACCAAACTTTGGTAGTTTGGGAAATTTTTATAAAAGTTATGTATTCTAGGAATTATTTTTAATTATTGCTATATTTAGGGGGAAAATCCGTAAGTGTACCTTATCTTTCTAGGAGACATGTTGGAAATCCAAAAATAATAAAAATTACTTCTCAAAAGATGTTGGAAAGTGAAGTAGAAAAGATATGCTCAAAAAGCTAAGAGTGGTGGAGAAACATGGCATTTAGATCTAAAAGATGAGATGGAGAGACTACACATGGACACAATGTGAAGCTTTCCCTTAAGTAAACACGGACAAGATCGCAGGCTGCCGTTACAAGATCGCAACCGCGATCTTTGCCCTGAACACAAACATCATGCTTTCACCCACTTCTTAAGCTTAATCATTCATCTAAATCAATCAAACATCCAAAGATAAGATGAGGCAAGGTTAAGTCCTATCAATCATCATCTACGCAATCCTAATCCTCTACTTAAGCAATTACTCAAAAAGAAAAAGGAAAAAGTATGCAAACCGAGTTGTTGGGTTGTCTCCTAACAAGCGCGTCTTTTGAATTCTTTTCGCGGGACTTGACTCCTTGAAATCAAGAGGTAAGAGCTCCATTATCCACCGATGATTCTTTATAGAAATAATACTTGTGCTTGAAATTCGAAAGACATGTCCGGAGATTGGTGTCATGTTTGAAAGAACTAAATTCCCTTGTGTAAATGTCCTCATCCGTGAATGGCTTATAGCATTCCCCAGATTATTCATCTTCGAATATAGGAGCTAGTTTTCTCTTAACATTTCGAACACTTTCCTTGGGGTATCTCTCTTCAAAGATGAATCTTCTAATTTTCCTCTTATGATCATTGGCTTGATGAGAAAATTTGAACAACTCTTGAGTAGCCCTTTTGTAAAGAAACTTTTCTTTACCCGATCTCTTCATAATCTCGCAAGAATCACTCACACCTTCAACTCTTCTATCATGAGGGTCAACATGAGAGACCATATTGAACCATTCTATCTCAGGGCTTGAAGACGGAGTGGTAGGAGGGGTAATCGGCTCACAATCCATTTCGACATCATCACATTTGTAATACTTGTGAAAATTGGGGATTGGAGTCATCTTGTAGCTTATATCTTCCTCTCCAAACCTTAGGGGGATCTTGCTCCCAGTAACATCGATAATGGCCCTTTTCATATCTAAGAATGGTCGTCCTAGGATTATCGATGCATCACACCCTTCCGTGTTGAGAACCACAAAGTCCACAGGATAAACAAAATGGGCAAACTTCACCAAGACATTCTTTATGACTCCTCTTGGCTCGACAATGGATCTATTGGTCAACTCAATCCGCATTTTTGTAGGTATGAGTGGTCGAAGATCTAACTCATTGTATATTCTTGTAGGCATAATATTGATACTAGACCCCAAATCTGCTAGCGTATTCCAAAAGGTTTTGATCCCGAAGGTGCATAAAATAGTGAAAATTCCCGGATCTCTTAATTTTGGAGGGAAGCCTTCACATCCGATGGATGCCGAAGCAACTTCACAAATGGATACCATGGTAACTTCTTCCAGTTTCCTCTTTCCGGACAATATTTCTTTCAAGAACTTAGTATAATTCAGAATCTTCATAACCATGTCTCAAAAAGGGACAGTTACCTTCAATTTCTTCAAGGTATCCTTCCACGAAGCACCTTCATGATATATATCACTTTCAAATAACCGTCTAGGATAAGGAGCTTTTGGTATTGGATCGGGTGCTTGAGTCTTCTTATATGTCTCCTCATCTTCAATCTTGATTTCGATAGTAGTTTGCACATCTTCCCGAACTGAGTCTTCTTCTTGAATATCTTCATGTTGAACTTCTCTTACCGGTATCCTTGGTGTCGAGATAAGAACCTTCTTCAAAGGTCGGTCACTCCTTAGAGTTACCGCATGACATCCCTCCAAAGAAAGTTAGGATGGTTCCTCCAACCCGGATTATATGGAGAGCTATAAGGGTTGTTTCCTCGGGATTTCCCTCCAACAAAGTTGGCTTGCTCAAATTGTATTGAGGCCTCAATCATAGACTTACAATCCTCCATTGTATGATTCGAGTCACCACACCAATCACATTTCATGAGTTGCTTCCCATTGCCTTTTATTGATGATGCAGCTTGATCAATTTTCTTGGAAAGTTCTTGTATATGAGCCACTAACGATGATGGGTCTTCAATCTTCAATAAAATTTCCTTCATCACACTCTTGCCTCTCCGCCCCCCCCCCCCCAATCGTAGCTATTTAAGGCCCTTTCTTCAATCAATCTTTGAAGTTCAGCGACTTCCTTGTTTCTTATGGCACCTCCACTAGCCGCATCGATCAGGTGGCATGACTGCCTTTTTCAACCATTATAGAAGCTTTCCACTTATAATCAATCGACGATGTCATGGTGTGGAAATTTGAGTAGGAGAGATGTAAACCTTTCCCATGCTTCGAACAATGGTTCATCCTCCTCTTGAGGGAAATATATAGTAATCTCGCTTCTTATTAGAGCCGTCTTAGAAGGTGGAATGTACCTTGCGAAGAGCTTGTTGCAAAGATGATCCCACGAGATGATGGAATGATGGGGATGGTTATTCAACCATTGCTCCTACATCTCGAACTCTCAAAGGACGTTATTCTTATTGGCCCATTTCGTCCCAAAGAGACCTTCCCAACCAGCCATCCCCTAGCTTGAAGGAGGATTGATGAACCACCTGGGGGAACCATCTTTGCCGCTCCATTTAAAGTAAACGGAAATAACCTTAGACGAATTGCCTCTTGAGGAATCCCGTTTATCTTGATTCCATCAGTCAACTCGTAGAACTACTTCATATGTGCGTGAACATCTTCACTCATCCTCCCATTGAATTGAACCACACTTTGAAGCATCAAAATTGTGCCCGACTTCATCTCATTGTTGTTGTTCGACACTGTTGGGTGAAGAATAGGTGATTGAACATTATCTACACTTGGCATTGAGTGAGATCCCATTGTTCCGGGCCTTTGTGGAACATGAGGTTGTTGTTGTTGATCCTCCATTAGTGGAGATTGATGTCTCACAACTCTTCTTAGATTCCAAAGGGTTCTCTCAATTTATGTATCAAAAGGTACTATCTCCAAAGAGTCCCTTCTTCATATACAAAAGTAATACAAGACACAACCTCAACAACTCGTGATGCACAAAGTTGGATGACAAAACACAAAACGATAAAAACTACTAAAGTAACAAAAAAACAACAAAAAAACAAATAAAATAAAGGCTAAAATAAAAACTCGATGGATTTCTAATAGTTACTGATGGTCCACGACAACGGCGCCAAAAAGCTTGATCAATTCATTTCGTGCAAGTCATTGTCAATAGTTAGCACGTTTCAAACTACCCCATCCTAGGCCAAGTTTAACCTAAAATGGCGCTGTCATATAGTGGCAATCAAAGTCGTATTCACTCGGATCCCGATACCTAGCATACTTCCCACATTGTTGTTATCTAGTCGATCGCTTTAAGGGGTTGTGATGGAGGATTCAGGCGAAATAACTAGTAGAGAGAACGCATAAGGATAAAAGCAGGTACTTCGGGGAACTATCACTCACCATAGCCTAGGTTTACTATGCATTGTCTAAATAAGTTGGGTGTAGCGAATGTGGTGAGTGAGCTCTTTTTCGTGGGCTTTCGTGTTTATCCACACGCCTCCGAGTACACCTCCCCTAAACCCATGTCAGTCACCTCGATCTAGGCTATCGTATCTGGGACAATAAGAATATAGCTCGTTTCAATGGGTACTAACCACCGTCCACACTGAGGTTTCATCCCGAGTTCTATCTAGGAAGGCATTCCTATGGCACGGGTACGGTCGCCTTGTCCACCATAAGATCATATTCAATCATCTAACCTAATTTGATTGATGGCGCATACCCGTCTAACCTTAAAACTCCACACCCAACGTAGGAGCTAACGTAGGCTAGTAGAGAAGATTAGGGCGACTTACCCAAACACAATTAAGCTAAAGAAGCAATGAAATCAGCTAGATAAACACATTCATTCTCCAGGTTGTGACCATCAGCTTCTTACCCATTTTGCTACACTTGTGCCCCTTTTCGTACCTAATTTGCATTTATTGTTTAAAGCATCCTAAAATCACTTCATAATCAAATAGGAACTAAATAGGGTTGCATTCGACGCTATTCTAATAATTATGCACAAGAATTAGCACGAAACAAACCTAAATGTGAAGGATAAATAACACCAATTTGAGTGTTATCACTTTTTTTCTCCAAATGCAAGTGGATCAATCATGGTGTTACGGCCAGAGGAGGTGACAGGGAGGTAAGGGTTATGTTGACGTTGAATTGGATGGTAGTAGGGGGAATGGCTTATGGGTGATCTCTTACATGCTTATTTGTGTTGTAAAACCTGAAATTGTACGGGGAAGCTTGCCTTTGTTAGTGGATCGCCTAGGAATTATTCTGTTAGGACTTGGGGACGTGATTCCCATGGCATTAGGGGACTACTGTGGCTCGTGTGCGATGGAGAGGAAGGATTTGGCAACTTGCTTGCAGTGGTTACCAGTGATGGAAAAGAGTTATTGAATCTTTTCATGTGAATGGTGGCATGGCTAGAGCACAAGGAATTTATTTGGATAACACGTGTGGCTTGCTTGGGTGACTGTTCGGACAACAAGAAATGCATATGGCAGGCTAATTGGAAAGGTTTACACACAAAATAGAAGTAGGCAACTCTCTTCTACGAGGGGACTGAGATTATCAAGCCAGCCGAATCGAATATCTAAGTTGGGTATAAATGGGTAAATTCTACCCGAGTTTTTAAGTTTGAACTTTATGATTTCAAGCTTCAAGTTACGAATTATATTTACTCGAAATGCATGTTTGAGAATCTCGTTTTCCTAAATATTTGAACTAGGAGAATTGAGAATGTATGAGGATTGTTGATATATGTTGAGGTAATCCACGGCCTATTGAAGGTGAGTACAGGAGTTTGACACACTTTACCGCCTAATGAAGTTGAAAGTGATGTGTGTGTGAGGTGTATCTAATGAGTGATTGTTAGTAAGGAAAGGAAACCCTCGGATGGTTGGATCACTATTGGAAAGCGATACGATATGAAGTAGTTGATCAAGCTTGGTACCGGATGGCAAAAAGAAACGCGGGCCATTGCCTAAGAGGTTATGGCATCGGATGACGAATCGAAATGCGGGCCATCTCCAAGTAGGTTGTGACACCATACGGCGATACGAACGCGATAGTCATTGGTTAAGGAGTGTCTAGTGTTGAGGTTAAGAGTGGAGAGTAATGTCAACTCCCAACGGTTCTTTTAAAATGATAAAGTTAAAGGAAAGGAGTAAGAACAACTCCCACAAAGTAAAAGGCAAATGTTTATGGTTTCTTTGATTATAATGTTGAGTTTTGAGGGTAGAAAATTATAAAGAAACCCCCACGTGTTTAAGTGTTAAGGCTAAAGGGTGTAGGTTTAGATAACTTCCACTAGTTTGTTAGGTGAACACTTAAGAGAGAAACCTTAAGTGCTCTGAGGTTTCAGTATCGACGTAGACTGACCTCTTCTCACTCACCAGATAGAGAGAGGGTTAGAGGACGAGTAGCTCAAGAGGAGATAGTGTGAGACGAGCAGTAGCACCATCGTTAAAGATATCTCAGGAAGGATCCTAGTAAGGAGTTGTAGCTGGATTTGCTTAGCTGTTTTCATTCATGATTATGACTATAAACAGGAGATTCAGAGTTTGTTTTTTAAGATTTATGGATTAAGGTAGCCCAACTGTTTAGGGCTTTACATTTGAATTACAGGAAATAGTTCAGTTTCTTTTGTTTTCCTTGCCTTGATTTTGAAGGAATTTTACCTGCTCCGGAGCATTTATTTTGTATTTTTGGTTAAAAGGATAAGGATGTTACAACCAACTAGTACAGTACCCTGGCCACGTTAAAGCTTTCTATGTCCAGCTTGCAAGTCTTAGACCTTCACGGACTCTACGGTGCCCTAGTTTCTTTGGTGATGCGAGCTAGGGGTTGTCGCTATCATTTGTTGATGCTGATGGAACTCCTTCAGCACATATGTTGCGTAGTGATTCGATCATGACCAACTCTAGTCAACCATGGGGAATTGAGAACATGGTTTGTGACCCACATTAGCCATCTTTGCTGCCTCCCAAGCTCGAGCTTCAGCAGCCCAATCTCGATGTGGTTACGGGTTTCATACTTCCACCCTTGCGGATCTCTCCATCCCAGTGCCTTCCCTCCTTGCAGATATTGATATGACCCTAATTTGAGAATCCTCTCAAATTTGGACCAAAGAATCAGAATAACGCAATGGCAAACTCTTTTGGGGTTTTCTCCTTTCTTGAATAACACAAAACTCAAAGATACATGTGGAAATCGATCAAACATATCCGAACTCATGATAAGGGCTAATTGGTATATGAAATCAATCAAACAATCTCGAACCCGTGGATAAGGCTAACAAATATCGTCGAACTTGCCAAAACTAGATGTGATCTTCTAGTTGATCAGAGACACTCAAACCTCCCGAATCCTCAAAGAAGAATTTAAGCAGACACATTCACAAATGAACTTTGAAAAACTCAAATTTGATTACTAAAACTTGATAAAAAAACACATAAAACTCGTTCTACTTATATAGACAACGAAATTTCAATCCTAAACTAAAAAAGAAAGCTAAAATCCTGAACTAACATGTAAAACAAATCATTAAATGAAACAAGTTTGACACCTTCAACCCTACAATCTAGCCTTCATGGACCACGAGAGTTATATAACAAGCCAATCGATTTGGCATCAACAAACTCATAAGCCTTGCTTGTAGAGCCCTTTTCTTCCACCTTTAATGCTCTCAAACTCTCTTTAAACCTCTTAAATTGTCTCTTGACCCATGGTCCATATAGAGATCTAATTTGAGCTCAAGTAATGTCATATGGGGTGAACGGGATCACATCATTGATGGAACTCCTCAACACATATGTTGCGCAGTGATTCGATCGTGACCAACTCTGATCAGGGAATTTTCCAATAATATCACCTATTAAAAAAAATTACAAAAATAACACCCATTCCGTAGAAATTACAAAACTAGCACCATTTTTATCAAACCGCACCTTGGAGGTGCGTTTTGCGCCACGTCAGACTGGGAACCGCACCTCCAAGGTGCGGTCTGTGTTTCCTCGGGAGCGGGCTTGGAGACCGCAGGATTCAGCGGTGATCCAGCGGCGGACCGCTTGCCACATCAGCGATCCGCGCCATGGATCGCAGACCGCATCGTCAGGGAGTGGTCAACGCCTCGGGAAAAGCAGACCGCATCGGAAGGGAGCGGTTTCAAGGTGGGAGAAATTACCAGACCGCCCCTGAAGGGTGCGGTCTGAATACTATAAATACCCCCTCCCCCCCCCCCCTCTCATTTCTTCACACCACAACCCATTCTTCACTCTCTCTCTCTCTAAAATTATCTCTCTAACCCCTCCCCTCCCAAAAGTCTAGGAAATAGTTGTCTGTTGGTTGCGGCTAAGTCCGATCTGCCATCATAAAACATTTCTTTGGTTTTTCACTCAAAACCCGCAGAATTTCTGTCCGACTTTCGCGAAAAAATGGACGAGTGGTTCCAAGGAGAGGGAGTTTATTATGATGAATTTCAAGCGGTACGTACTCATTATTTTGGTCAATTTTTGTTTTTGTTATAAGCTTTTTAATTAATCTATGTACTAACCTTGTTGTTATTCTCTCGTAGGTTGGGGACGACGTGAATATATACAACCAACGGTACTATTTGGATCAAGGGTCTATTGATCCAACCGACTTGTACGACCAACCCAACCATCGTTCAAGGGTTGTTTGGAACGATCACCCGGTACATACAATTCTTCATCATTTATCTTTCTTTTATTTTGCTAATGTACTTAGTGGAATATAAAATAAATTTGAAATAATTTAATCGTATTCGTTGCTTTCAATAATTTATTCGAATACATAGCGCCACTTACTTCGATTTTTTATAAAGAGATGCACGTCTAAGGAAATGGGGTTTTAAGCGATTATCATGATCCGCCCATTTCCTGGGAAAATCGGGTATTAAGAGATCCTCGGATTCCCCTTTTCTGTCAAAAAGGCTGCGTTTCTAAGTAGATGTATACCTCATCTAAGAGTCTAACGAGTGTTGCATTGTATTAAATTAAATTATTTAAAACAACCAATGTGATTAAATTACTTACCAAACAACCAATACGATTTATGTTTATGTTTACTTAAATGAATTTTATTAATTTTAAATGTTTGAATATGTATGTATGTATGTCTTTAAATTATTATTCATTTAGAATGTTATTTGTGTCAATTAATTTAGTATGTTTGTTTTATGATAATATGTATATGTTGGAAAAAAACCACAAATTACTTAAATTTGATTGTTAATAATATAATTATAATAGAATTATGGTCGTAATTAAATCATTAATTTTAATTAATTTAGTTACAAGACTAAATTGTTACTAATATATCATAAATAATTTTAATAATGGTCGAAATTAAATCATTAATTTTAATTAATTTAGTTATAAGACTAAACTATTACTAATATATCATAAATAACGTTGAAATTTTTGCTAGGAGGCACAAAAAATACTCTGCTACAGGTTTACGACCAATGTGCTCCCATGGAACCCAGTTATCTTGCCCTTTCTCAAAAGGGCACGGTTGGAGTCGATTAGGCATTTTGTAGGCATAAAAGTCGATCGCCATCTCATCACCGCATTGGTGGAGAGATGGAGAAATGATACACATTGTTTCAACTTTCGCGAAGGAGAGTGCACCATCACACTCAAGGACGTCGCCATCCTAACTCATCTGCCCATCGACGGCAAAGCGGTGTGTGTGAGTGACCATCCCCCCGAGGATCGTGACGGTATGACCGGTTTGCAGTGTTTCATCCACAGTGTTTTGGGGGTGAAAGTACCAACCAAGGGGAGCGTTGATGCGACGGATCGCTTGCCACCATTGAGGAAAGGCCAAGTATCAATCACTTGGTTGACCTATTTTAGGGACCTTCACGATCCTGAAAAAAATGGGGTGCCCCTAACCGTGGAAAGTCTGGAGCTAGAGAAGGAAAGATATGCTCGTGTCTATCTCATAGGCATGATAGGAGGAGTCTTCTTCTCCAAAAAAAATCGAGCAATTTAATTAGTTGTGGATGGCTTAGGATCCTCCTTGGTAGTTGGGATGCGATGGGGGAGTTGAGCTGGGCTTCCGTTTGCCTAGCTAATATCTACCTCCTTGGTAATATCTACCACCCTCCGAGCTACCATCAATCCCAATATGATCCCCACCCGATCTCATACCACGATCCCCGCCCACCATACTATGATCCTCGCCCACAATACTATGATCCCCGTCCAAACTTCTTCAACGAACCCCCCCCCCCCCCCCCACACACACACACACACATCCTCAGGTACTTGGCATGATGGTTCCTCCACGACTGCGCATCACGACTTCAATCATATTCCTCGCCCTCATCAGCCGTGGCCTCCTACCCCTCACCGTATGAACGTCGAAGTCCCCCGCTCGACCTCGGAAGCGCCGCATACCACGGATCGACGCCGACACATCATCGACGAGCGCCCTAGCACGACCCATCGAAGCTTGCCACCGCAACCACCGATGGTCACTCCCGTCGGCCGTCGTACAAGGAGCAAGAAAACCTTGCAGCCCCATGAGTCCCAGGGACTTCCTTGAGATGGATTTTTAGTTTTATCATTTTAAGTGTTGTTTTTAGTTATGTTTTAATTATATGTACTTGAAACCCTTCCCTCCTATTTTAGTTTCTTTAATTGAGTGTTGTTTTAGTTTAAATTTTAGTTCTAAGTACTTGGCTTTCTCTATTTTGATCGTGTTAACTTAAGGCTTGAGTGTTAATTGACGGTTATTTGCCAAACACGAAAGTTTCAAGCATCATAGCTCTAACTCCGACAATAATTGAAAACATACATAATAAGTACCAAAAAATGAAAACCGCAAACTATGTCTCATTAGCTGAGTCCCCCACATCAGGACCTGAATTTTGCGGACCAATCGGACCTGGACAACTTCGTTTATCTTGCCCTAGAACTCTGCATACTGAACATCATCTTGGGCCTTGTGGTGGTCTTCCACTTTAATCCATTTCGTTCTGAATTCTCTTTTTCCTCGGTCGACCCGGTTCACGCCTCTGTCCGAACGGCGGGATTATCAACTTTCCTGAGTACACAGGCCAATAAGCTTCATCAGGCAATGCACGGAAACTCCGTCCATAGCAATTTTTGAGTGAGTCGATATTGAAGAATGGACTGACGAAGTGACGGGGGTCTTTGCTCCTGTTTTTAATTACAGCCATTGCATGAGAACATGGCCACCCTCTCCCTTGATACTTCTGGCATGAGCACTCACCAAGTTTCGTCCTGAAATTTACCAAAACTTCATGGCGATGGCCCTCGCATCTACCATCCTCACGGTGTCCGGTCGTCACGCTAAACTCGCCAGTTGCCCGATTCATAACGGTTACACTGTGTCGACTACTCTTCCGATTGTCATGCTCCAGTGTTTCTGTGACTTTATTGGCATGGACCTTTCCCTGTGCCTCGTTCGTCCTTGCGCAGTGTAGTCGATCGACGAACCATCCATTCGTTTTCCAGAAAGTCATCTCCACAATGGCAGAGATTGGCAGCGCCCGAACACCCTTGTAGGCAGAATTGATACTCTCTGATGAGTTCGTTGTGGCCATACCCCATCTTGTACCTCCGTCTTTATGAAATGTCCACATGGATAGGTCGTGTCCATCCAGCCACTGTGCCCCTTCAGGGCATAACTCGCGCATCTTCTGCAACTTCTCCTGGAATTTTTTCTCTTGGTATGCAACAGCTGAGGTAATCACAATCAAGTATTACGTTAGTAATAATCCGGAAATTTATTACAATTCGAAAAACCAGCAAGTACTCTTGTTAGACTCTTAGGAGAGGTTTATATCTCCTTAGAAACACAACCTGGTTGACAGAAAAAGGGGGGTTCGAGAATCGCTTAAAACCCGATTTTCCCAGGCAATGGGAGGACCATGATAATCGCTTAAAATCTAATTTCCTTAGGCATGCATCTCTTTAGAAAGAGTCTAACAATTGTACCATTTATTTGATATAAGATATTGTTATCAGACAAATTAAACAACCAATAGAGAGCTTACCAATCCACCACAAATTATCAGCAAGCTTCTTCCGCTTGAAATGATGGTTCCAGTTGCTCTTGAAGTGTCGTATGCACCACCTTTGGGACCACTTCCAGGCTAGATCCAAACCTAAGATGACAGCTCTAATCCCGGCATGCCGATCAGAGATTATTGTTAGGTTCGTTCTCCTAGTGACGTGAAGCTGAATTTGCTAGAAAAACCATCCATGGCTATCAGTATTCTCTCCCTCAACAATGGCGAAGGCTAACGGAAAGACTTGTTTGTTTGCATCCGCCCCACTGGCAATCAGTACAGTGCCCTTGTACTTGCCGGTAAGGAATGTACCATCCACTTGGATCACAGGGACATAGAAGCCAAAACCATCAATAGATGGCTTGAATGCCCAAAAAAGTCGTCTGAAATGGCGTTTGTTACCTAGCTCTAGCGGTTGTACCTCTTCATCTTGGTATCGAGGGGAGAAAACAGTGCCACGGTTAGACGCCTCCAGTGCCAAAATCAACCTGGGAAGGAATGCATATGATTCTCCCCAATCACCAAATACGGCGGCCAGAGCTTTCTTCTTTCCATGCCACGCCTTCTTATAGTTAATCATATAACCATAACGACTTGCAATGTCATCGATTATGACTTTCACCTTCAGGTCAGGATCTTGCTCAATTAGATGCTTAATAGCCGCAGCAACCACCCTGGATTTCAACTGTCAATGGCCTTGGGATGTTATGGATGACATACACATGTGTGTGTTCACCGCACGGGATATGACCCAATGGCCGTGTCACTTGCTGTTGATGACCCAAATCCTAAAATTGCATCCCTCGTTATGATTACGGCATCTGACTATGAGCCTTTTTGTGTTGGAATGAGTTGTGTGCCATTCAAAATGCCGAGTCATTGCTTCAGTATCAATGGCGTGTTGCGCCTCCTTCTTCGAGTCAAATTGTTGGCCCTTCGTAAACCCAGTGAGTGGACCCCATATTGGAACCTCCGAGGGTTCCATGTCGCTGTCGACCAATTGCCGTCTGGAATGTGATTGTAGTAGTGGACTGGTACACGGTCATGAGCCACCTCATCATCATTAACTGAGTCAGACTCTGGTCCTGAATCATCAAGCACCTTCAAGAGGGTCGGAGTTGTCTGCACTGACGTTGTTCTCTCCTTCTTCATCGGAGGGGTCACTGACTGGTGCTGGCAGGGCATCTTCTATCTGATCCAGCTCATGAAAGGCACCTTCATCAGCTCCACAATGGTAGTTGTGAAAACTACCACTGCCTGATTGGAAGTTGTACTGGGGTTGGTTGGCATGGTCCGGTTGAACTTCTTCTTCATATGACGGGTAAGATTGATGATGACCTTCACCTTGCTCTTGGTACTGAAAATAGGAATGAGGATCATGGTAATTTTTGTAGGGATGATCTCCTTATAATTCACCTCCACCATGGATACTAGATGTTTGACCGTCTCCAGAATGACCTCCAACGCCTACGACCGGCTCGGTGTAAACGAACATCTCGGCTCTGGAAAGATTGTTGGACCTCAAGAATTCGAGCACGACATCTACCTCATCCTGAGTGGTTATGAGATATTCCTCGTGCCACAACAACCTGCCTTCTCTGTTTGGATATCGGTACACCATACAATCAACTCTTCTCGTGCCATCCCTGCAAGCAACTTTACTACACATTTGATAGAGGTTTTCAAGCATCGGTCTGGGGGCGACCTTTATTTTCTGAAAATTGCCACCGACGTAGGTGACCCCCTTTCCGCTCTCTTCCGTGTAACCATTCCACCGTAACCCAAGCGTGAACTTTTGGAATGCCATCTGCAAAAAAAAAGTAGTTCAACTAATATCATAAAAATCACAATTCACAATAAAAAGTAATACAAAATAAACTTACGAGTTAACGTTAACCGCAAAAATACTAGAGAAATAGGGAGCTACAACAAAAAATTGAAAAGGGAGAAGGAGAGGTGTGAAGAGAAGAGATATCCCGGGCTGCCTTTTATAGGCAAAATCATCAATGAAAACCGCACTATAGAGGTGCGGTTTTTATCTGCCATGCAATCCCACGTCTGTCAATCTGCATGGCTGCATATCTGGTATCGGAAAATAATTGACACACAAACCGCATGGGGGGGGGGTATGGTTTGTGTTGCCAAAACCGCACTTTGAGGGTGCGGTTTGTTTTGGAGAAGCAAAACCGCATCCCCAAAGTGCGGTTTTGCTAGGTCAGGACTAGACCGCATCTGGGCCATGCGGTTTGGTTAGGTCAGACCGCAAACCGCATGGGCAAGATGCGGTTTTGGCCTAGAAAGCTAAACTGCACCTTGGGGGTGCGTTTTAAATACAAAACGCACTATGGGGGTGCGGTTTACATGCAAAACGCACCAGGGGGTGCGGTTTTTAAAAAAAAGGTGCTATTTTTGTAATTTCCACGTAATGGGTGCTATTTTTGTAATTTTTTTTTAAAAGGTGCTATTTCTGGAAAAATCCCCTCTAGTCAACCGTTTTGAATTGAGAACATGGGTTAAGACCCACGTTAGCCATCTTTGCTGCCTGCCAAGCTCGAGCTTCACCAGCGTAACCCTCAGCGTGGTTACGAGTCCTGTACTTCCACCCTTGCGGATCT